CCGACAGAACATTCAATCCACAGTACGTATAGCAGACAACGCGTAAATGCAGGCAAAAAAAAAAAATCTGAAATGTTTCAGATTTTAAATTACGTCCAAAGGGGCGTTTTTTTAACGTTTTGAGTGTTACCTTTATTTATTAAATATCATGTTCTTTGCACTTAAACCATAAAATTCAGTTCAAGAGCAATATCGCAAAATAATGTTAAATTAAGCATATCTTTAGAATTTCCGATATACACAGTCTCGCGAGCTGGAGATAAAAGTATTTTTTTTCTATATAACGTTGCCATTTCTCGCTTTTAAAGCACTGATTTTGTAAATCAAAAATTCGTTAAAGTTTTACAAAATATAAAAATCTATAATAAAAAACAAATTCTAAATTTGGGATTTCAGATGCCCATATTCGCAGTAGGATTTCGTCATTCAAAATTCGATGGCTCTATGTACCATTGTTTTATCACAATGCGAGAAATAGACAATCATTTATGCAGATTTTTCATTATTTAATTTCTTCAAATATAATGCAGGACTCTAACATTTTGTGGCAACAGTTTGAAAAGTGAACCGACGTTTATGAGTCCGACGCAAAATCGCAAAACGAAAACAATAGTCCTTCAGGGAGAAAGCCCCTTTGGACTAAAAAACGTGCTACAAATGTTTCAGTAAAATTTGTCCACATTAATCTGATAAAGGGCTATTTCTAGCGTACATGACGAGAAAGTTTATGGATAAATACCCCACTTTTGTTACTTGTAGGAAGTAAAAGAAGTATTGTAATTGCTAAAATTTTCGGGTATCATATTTTTTTTTTTTTTAAAAGTCCATTTTGACTGTAAGGACAGAATAAAAGACTTTTTCCCAAAAGGCATTCTAAAATGGATTCAAAAGAGATTTTTTCGAGATGTTTGTATGTACCTATGTATTTCGCATGACTCAAAAACGAGTAGCCTCAGACCGGTCAAATTTTGTATATGCTATAACATGCAAATTGTGCACCTTCCTTTTTGGTTGTCATCGGCCGTCTCAAAAGTGTATATATATGTAACCCAATTTGTTAATTGGCTTGGCGAGCTCAGTTTTTTTACTTCCTTGTACGAAGTAAAAAAGAAGTATTGTAATCCCGAAAAGTTTCAGGCAGCATATTTCAACGAAAATATCCATTTTGACCGCTTTCGAATAAAATTTAACGATGTTTTTGCGTGATATCTGTACGTAAGGACAGAATAAGACTCTTTTCCTCCAAAAAAATTATAAAACTGCTTTAAAATGAATTCTGAAGAAAATTTTTCGTGGCGTCTGTACGAATGTATGTACGTACGTATCTCCCATAACTCAAGAACGAGTAGCCTCAGAACGTTGAAATTTTGTATATAGGACTACTATAACATGTAGATGTGCACCTCGTATTTTGGTTGCAATCGGCCGCGCCAAACGTATATAAATATATTTATATATATATATCCACTCTGTTACCCGGCTCAGTGATCTCAGTTTCTTATATGTTTGTAAATTGTACATTTTTTGCTTTAAAAATGATTGAATTATGTTGTTTTTGTCTTCCGGTTAAGGTTTTTATGCCTTTAGTAAATCTGTATGCAGTATTTTTAGAATTATCAACAATTTTAAAGTTGTTTAAGTGCCGCTAAGCCTAATAATTTTTTTTGATGGCGGCCATTGCTTGTTTACATTTGAAACAGCAGAGTAGTGCATTTGTTGCCAATCTAGAGAAACGTAGCTTCGAAAAAACAAAGATAACGCCTTCATTTATTATTGCGAATTAAATCATGCTTAATCCTTTCTGGAATTTTTTCGAGGAAATAAGTGTTTGAGAGATTTACTTTGTAATTTTTAATACAGATATTTTGAGTTTTTATGTATTTTTGCCTTGTCGCGAAGTGAGAACTGAATTAATTGAATGAGAAATACTCAATCGTCTGTGAAAGCTGTTTCTTTTTTTTTGTTTTGTTTGCTTAATTTCTTTTATACATCGTTCTAGCTTTATTATAGTATTTGAACAGAACGTGTGGCAACGATTAGATAATTCTTTAAATGATATATATTTTGTGCATTCTGAGTTATAATATGAACGAAATATAATACTGTTAAGTGAACCTAATGCCAGAGTGTCGCTATGGTAAACAAATAGCGTGAATTTTAAAGAATGCATTTATTCTATTGTGGTTTATGCACTCTCGGCGAAGTAAATCTAATTCAATCCAATAAGTTTTAACGAAATGCAAGAAAAAATGCGTATAATTTAATATTTCGTACAAGGAAGTCATGTGTTGTACACTTTAGATTTTTATTCTTTTATGTTGGTAAATTGTGCATATTTTGCTTTCAAAGGCATTGAATTATGTTGTTCTTATGTTCCCGGTTAAGGTCTTTACGGCTTTAGTTAATCTGCATGCAATAGTTGTATTTTATTAAGAATTTAAAAGTTGTTTAGTGTAACTAAATCTAATAGAACAGCCTACATTTGAAACTTTTGTCATACACAAATGTGAATTCGCACCTTCAGTTATCATTTTGCCGAGTAAAATGTCAGTTTTGTGCACTGGCAAATCTGCCTTCTTGTTCGCTGGGCGATTGTTTTGGGGTAGAATAATTTTAATTGTAGGAATTTATTTATTTTAATTGTTTTAACTGTATTTTCTTCTTTATGCTTTTCTATGTTCTTCAATTTTTTAATGATTATATTTTAAGTTTATATGTATATCTGTCTTGCCTCGAAGTGAGAACTGATTTAATTGAATGAGAATGAAATTCGAGAAAATAAATTTAAATGAACTGCAGCAAAAAAAAATGTGTGTAATTTAATAGGCCGAGTCATGTGGTATCAGAATTTTTTTTTTTTTTATTTAATGCTAAAGATACTATAAATTTTCTAGGAAAGCAATCATATTTTGGCGAAAATTTTGAAATGAGTTTCGAGAGCTGTCGGACATAGGAGTGAAACAATCTGATATGGATAGAAATGAGTAAGGCGAAAAAAATTTAGCCTGTCAAGGAAAATAATAATGAAACGGGAAAAAATTAAAATTAAAATTTTGAAAGCGTTGAAAAAGGATGCCATTAGTTAACGTTAAAAGGTTCAACGAAATACAGTCTACTAAGTAAAGAAGTTCTACAGATTACCTTTTATACATCGAAAATCAAAATTGGGATTAAATGTCAAATTATGATTAACTACTAAAAATTTATTTATTTCTTTTTCCAAACGAACGATTCATATTCCCTAACGAGAAATTTCAATTCTCTTAGTTTGGGGAATATATGTCAAACCACATTGCCATGTTAGGCTAATATTCAGCAAGAATTAAAATCAAAGATGAGGTTTTAAAGAATTGAACCTCTGAGAACTAACAGGAATACTAACTTATTAGCATTTCAAAGTCTGATTATCATTTTATTGCATTTTTAATAATTATATTTGAATATAAATTTGATTATGAGGGGTTAAAACACTGCTTTTGGGATACAGGGTATCTTTCAGCGGCTGAAGGGGGCTCCCGAGGGGGAATGTTTCTTTTACTCATACATAACAAAGCGCCCATCTCCTGACCCTGCTGAAAAGACTTCTTTTAACTCACAAGGTAGTGACCCTCGAGGGTGCAACCGGAATCATTAACAAAGGCACAGGATTTCACCACTGATGAAATTTACTGCACTCTGAAATCACTCATCCTAGACAATGAACCTTTATGCCATCTTATCACAGTAGCATATGCCTCGTATTTCATTCAATTCATCATGTGTTGAGCTGCCCTCATATATCACTAAAACATTTTATAGCTTATTACTTAAAAAACTATTTACACAGACTTATCAACATTACATTTCATCGTCTTATAGGTATATTTCCATTATGAATTCCTTTCTGAGTATTTACCGTATTTTCCGGCGTATAAGACGCATCCCCCTTTTTATGCACATTTTTTTAAAGATAAAACTTTGAATACTGATCATTATAATGAACTTACTGTATTTTAAATATAAAGTAATACAAATACACATAATTTCTGCAAATATACAATCTGTCTGGGAAATAACACCTTTTAGTCTCCTTCGTCAAAACCCAGACACTGATGTCCAGAGCTGAATGAAGAGTCACTTTAAATATCTCCTAAATCAGCATCTGAGTCCTCATACAACAAATTGTTCTCTATACCAGTGTTTCCCAACCTTTTTTTCCTCGCGAACCAAAAGGAAGGTCCGAAAAAATTTGACGAACCCCCTATGTAGTCGTTAATGACAGGTTAAAAAAAAAAGCAATAAAATTTGATAGAATATATATTTTTCATATTGCAGAATAACTGATTATATTAATCGTGAAACATTTAAATAAAACATTAATAAGACTAAAATGATGGCTATAAAAGTTGAAAACAAGATAAATTTAACAAACTGGTTCTTATGTTTTACATTTGGAAAAACTCTTAATGGGATATTTGTGGCTGTTTGATAGAACAAAGCAATTCAAAGTTAGGCTCAATATCTGACAATTTCAGTCTTAGATCAGGTTCTGCATTTAACCTGTTTCTGTATTTATCTTTCAGATAAGTATATGTTGAAAATCCTTTCTCGCACAGATATGTTGTGCAAAAATGGTAATAGAACTTCAATTGCTTTTTTTGACAGAACAGGATATTCATTTTGTATACTGAGCCAGAAGTCAATTAAAGACTGATCTTTAAAAATTGCTTCTAGAGAACTGTCACAAGATAACGTTATGAATTTTTTTTTTTCCAGTATATTTAGAGAGGTTTTTTGAAATTACATTTCCTTGAAATGGATTACGTATCCAGTTGTTTGAGATGGATATAGTGCATCTGTTGGGAAAATAGTCATCGAAAGTTAATCGAAGATAGTTCAGATGTTCACATATACTCCTTTTAATGTTTTCGTCAAGTTTAATTGAATTTTCTGATGAAAAAGTGCTGACAGAATCGAAACCCATACTCATTCATCTGCAGGCATTGAATCCAAAAACTGACCTTTTTCAACATAGCCTCAATTCTATCATATACACTGAAAATGGTAACACCCTCGCCTTGTAAAGATATATTTAATTCATTCAGGTTACAAAAAATGTCAGCTAAATACGCAAGCTTTTGCAGCCAAAGAACATCTGATATACCAGAAGACAAATTAAACGGATGATCAATTTCAGACTTCAATTCAAACAAACGCGTCAAAACTTTACCACGGGAAAGCCATCTAACTTCTGTGTGAAGTAGTAAAGAAATATGGAAACTTCCAAAATCCTCACAAAGCGTACGGAATAGACGGCAATTTGTAGCACGCGATTTTATAAAGTTCACAATCTTCACAGCAACACTTAAAGTAGTAGATAACTCTGCAGGAATACGCTTACATACTAAAGCTTGTCTATGAATACAACAATGAGTCCATTGAATTTTCTCGTTGATCTTCTTCACCCGTGCCACAAAAGCAGAAAATTTTCCTGTCATTGATTTTGCACCATCTGTACACACACCCACACAATAAGACCAGTTTATTCCATTCTTTTCAAAATACCCATTGATCATGTCGAAAATCGCTTCTCCAGTTGTGTAGGTTTTCAAAGGTTTTGCAAATAGTACATCTTCTTGAACAATATTTGTAAAAAGATATCTAACTGTAGACAAGCAAGACTGCGGCATTTGTTACATCCGTCGATTCGTCAAGTTGAATTGCAAAATAATTCAATTTTATTCTTTTTAGAAGTTTGTTCTCCACATAATTAGCCAAGTCATTAATTCTACGCGACACCGTGTTGTTTGATAAGGGAACTAGCTCAATTTTCTTTGCTGCCTTTTTCCCCAAGCATACATTTGGCGATATCTTTCGCACATGGTCCCAATTAAATTTTCTGCTATTGTATGCGCTTGTCCAGATCTTGCAATTCTATAAACTTACTCAAAATGATGCTTCAAGGGCCATTTTACTATCTTCGTTTGAAGTCAAGGAAGAAGAAAGGGCTACACTTTTTGATATCTGCTAATTTTCTTTTGAAATATTCAAGAGGTTTATCTTTGTGTGTCGGGTGTTTTGTTTCAATATGTCTACGAAGAAGTGATGGTTTTAAACTGCTGTTGGCAAGAACTTCGTTACATATAACACAAAGCGGTTTAGGTTCCGACTCATCCCCAGTAAAATGAAAACCCAATTATAGATAGTCGCTATCATATTTTCGCTTTTTCCCTTTACTATCATTATTTCCTTTGTTTTTCGTTTGGTGAAACGGTACCTCACTACAGCTTTCAGTACTATCATCTCGATTATCGTGTCTCGTTTCTAAACGACCCGTTTTTAACCATCGATCCACAATAAAAATAAGCTATAATAATAATTAAATTAATAATTATTAAATCATTTACACGAGAACTTGACAGTCACAGTATCACTATCACTCAAGCTTTACAAGTGCTAAGCCTATGTATGAACGTCGACAGACAGACAGACAAAATAGACAGTTAATACAACACTACTCTCCCGGTTGTGAACAAGTATCTAATTCTAAAACCGATAGTATTTAACTTGATATTTATTTCCAATTGTAATAAAAAATAAAAAATAAAAAAAAAAAATCTGAAATGTTTCAGATTTTAAATTACGTCCAAAGGGGCGTTTTTTTAACGTTTTGAGTGTTACCTTTATTTATTAAATATCATGTTCTTTGCACTTAAACCATAAAATTCAGTTCAAGAGCAATATCGCAAAATAATGTTAAATTAAGCATATCTTTAGAATTTCCGATATACACAGTCTCGCGAGCTGGAGATAAAAGTATTTTTTTTTTTTTATATATAACGTTGCCATTTCTCGCTTTTAAAGCATTGAGTTTGTAAATCAAAAATTCGTTAAAGTTTTACAAAATATAAAATCTATAATAAAACAAATTCCAAATTTGGGATTTCAGATGCGCATATTCGCAGTAGGATTTCGTCATTCAAAATTCGATGGCTCTATGTACCATTGTTTTATCACAATGCGAGAAATAGACAATCATTTATGCAGATTTTTCATTATTTAATTTCTTCAAATATAATGCAGGACTCTAACATTTTGTGGCAACAGTTTGAAAAGTGAACCGACGTTTATGAGTCCGACGCAAAATCGCAAAACGAAAACAATAGTCCTTCAGGGACAAAGCCCCTTTGGACTAAAAAAAATATATATATATATATTTTTTTAAAAATATATATATAATATAAATATATATATATATTACATAGAAGGGAAAACTGCTGCAATGATTTTAAATATAAAGCAGAACATCACATTGATAAAATGTTTTAAATATAATAAATGTTTGTAATAAAAAGAGAATAGTTTGATTACTTCAATAAGAAGAATAAATTATAATGTATGAAATTGTTGATATAATTTGATATTAATGAAGTAATTTTGAAAAACAAATAAGGAAAAAAGAAATGAAAATATTGAAATTTATTATAGATTTCTTAACAAACAGGCAGCAAACAATCTGTTTTACAGTGGGTGTGTTCTTTAATTTCTGTGTTTTTTTTTAAATTTTTTTTTTTATTTTAATGGCGTTTTAAAAAATCCGCCATTACAATATTATTTTCGCGAACCATCGGTTGGGAATCACTGCTCTATACCAACCAGCGCGCGCATTACTAATGCCCCACTTCTTAAATGATTCAATAACTGTCTCTGTTTTCAGAGCATCTCATGAAGCTTTGGCCCATTCACAAATGACATATCGGCGTATAAAACGTACCCCGTTTTTCAGAGCTATTCACAAAGAATAAAAGTGCGTCTTATACGCCGACAAATACGGTAATTTCGATGCCAGAAATAGCCAGTCATGGTTCTGTTGATGATTCATCTATTATATGTAATTAATGGAATAACTGATCCAAGTAGCAACAAAATTATTTTGCATCGTTCGTTGTAAAGCTATTTCTGAATTTAACTCTTTCGCATCGGTTGAGGCCAACGAGATAGTATACTGGTAGAGAGCGTATTGCAACCTTCAACCGGTTCCAACATTAGTGTCACGTGACTGCTGCGCGAATTCCGAAAGTCCGGAAATACTTTACATTGCTTTCTATGGGACGAAAGACTGCTGCTCTGCTTGGTCACATAAAATTTAAGTAAAAATGGTTATTCGTTGCAGCGCCTACCGATGTAAAGAAAGTTTCGTAAAAGTAGGACTTGTAACCTTTCATAGGTAAGTTAAAACTGCATGATTTATTATTTTATTTTCAGTACTTTTGTCATTTTACTATCTCTGTTGAATTGGTTGGAAAATTTTAGCCATATTGTATAAGAAAATTGCCGCCGTATATGACATTTTCAGCATGTATTATTAGCATCAAATGTATTAAATACTGTGACCTTTACTACTTTTACTGGAATCACCCTTTACAAATAATTTAATTTTATATGTTTTTTCCGTGTATTCCGTTGAAATAGAAAGCTGCGCCAATTGGCGTTAAATTTTTTCGCCAAGTCGTACGCGTTTTGATTACATAAACAATTACTGCCTGCGATAAAGAAAGAAAAATGCTATTATTAACATTAAATTATTGAGAAAAGATTGCGCGATATGTTTACTTTGTTAAAAAAAAAGAGCTGAAGATCTTGATTCATGCAACATTGAACATAAACAGTTAAACAGCATTATTTTAAAAATCAGATTACTTTTATAAAGCTCAATGCTTTATCATTATTTTCTATAAAATCAATTAAAATAAAAAAAAATAAAAAAATAAAAAAAAAAAAAAATCCGAAATTTTTCAGATTTTAAATTACGTCCAAAGGGGCGTTTTTTTAACGTTTTGAGTGTTACCTTTATTATTAAATATCATGTTCTTTGCACTTAAACCATAAAATTCAGTTCAAGAGCAATATCGCAAAATAATGTTAAATTAAGCATATCTTTAGAATTTCCGATATACACAGTCTCGCGAGCTGGAGATAAAAGTATTTTTTTTTTTTTATATATAACGTTGCCATTTCTTCTCGCTTTTAAAGCATTGAGTTTGTAAATCAAAAATTCGTTAAAGTTTTACAAAATATAAAATCTATAATAAAACAAATTCCAAAATTTGGGATTTCAGATGCCCATATTCGCAGTAGGATTTCGTCATTCAAAATTCGATGGCTCTATGTACCATTGTTTATCACAATGCGAGAAATAGACAATCATTTATGCAGAGTTTTCATTATTTAATTTCTTCAGATATAATGCAGGACTCTAAACATTTTGTGGCAACAGTTTGAAAAGTGAACCGACGTTTATGAGTCCGACGCAAAATCGCAAAACGAAAGCAATAGTCCTTCGGGACTGAAATCCCTTTGGACTAATAACCTGGATTATAATTCTGTCTCATCTACGATGCTGTTAGAAATTTATTGTAATTGAAAAAATGTGATGTGAAAAACTTACCATATTTTAAATAGTATTAAAAAAAAAAAAAAGAGAGAGAGAGAATTTTTAACTGTAATATCGTTTTGATCCTAATAATAAATACTGAGTTGAAGTTTGTTACCGTTTGATACATATTCAATATAAAATATTTGTTATAGTTAATAAGTATTGATCCCCGCCATGACATACACATGAGTGTGGAAATCACTAATTAAGATTGCATTATTTTGTTCCATTAATATAATCTCAAGAAAAGAGAGGCAATTAATGGCATAAATACATATAATACAATGTGATTTTCTTTTTCTCTTTAGGATGCAATGCATTAAAATTAAACGAGATTTTTTTACCTTCTCAAATATTATAACAGTAGTGCAATTGATTTTTTAACGTTATTCAAAATTAAAGTTTCCATCTCAATTTTTTTATTATTTATTTTAGATTTTCTTCCTAAAATTATTTAACCTCAACATCTTAAACAATGGTGCAAATAATTTAAAGCAATTATTAAAAATATAGATAAAATATTCAGGAAAAAAAAGGTTAAGTTATATCTAAATATAATTGTAAAAAATCGAAGAACCTAATTCGAGGCCGTTGTCTGCTGACTGCTAGCAGACGGAAATAAAAAGCACTACCTGCCATATCAAAAGCGGGCCAAACTGGCGATGAACAGCCTAAGCTATCACTCCCCAAGAGCGCCAAGAGCATTAGTCACGTGGTATATGTTGGAGACACCCTAGCAGACGAATTCTCTGTGGGTGAGCCGTCCACCTGTTATATGAAGTCGTTGGTTGAGGCCAAAATCCATGTAGGTAGGAAAGGAAGGAGGGGCCAGTCGGCACTAGAAGTGAAGCACTAACTACTTTGAAGCTTGGGTCACCAGATGGGGTGTTCTTTGCTTACATTCAGAAGCTCGCTTGACAGGGTTCTGATAGTATTTCGACACACGAAAGTTCCATACAAATCGAAAAAGGGACACTTTCGCATGAAAGAAACATTCATAGTGTGATGGATAATAGCAATTTGTATAGTTTAGTGACATTTACGCAAAAATCACATCTTGGTTATTTTTCGATAACTAACAACAGCGCGATTTTGATTATGAATTTATTTTATAAAATTCTAAGCTGTTGAACTACAAAAATATAGATTTTAAGAAAAAGGTTATGCTTAAAGAATGAAAAATATCTTACGGTACATTTAAAATTGTATACGTCTTTCGATACCCTTGATAGAGTATTCGCTACTTTTATTTTA